GAACGGGCAAGTCAGGACCTGAAGACGGTAGCCTGTCTTCCCCACAGTGGGCAGAGTTCAAACACTACCTCTAGTGCACTGCACTCCCAGAATACTGGGTAATCAATCGCTTGGTGCGAGAAGTCTCTTTGGGACGAGAAGTGAGGAGGAGAGGGAAAAGAATTGCAGGTGAAGATGTCTAGAGAACGGAAAGAACGGGGGCTCATCTGGATCAGACACTGACCTGGGCAGACAGCGGGCGTCTGTGGGCCGGAAGTTGTAGCCCCTGCTGCCCTGATAGCTCTGGTTAGGGCTGGGGGGTGGTGGAGACACTGAGGCCTGTAAGAAAGGGGCTGTGAGATGATTCTTGATTCTTGATCCTTTCCCTCGCCCCCCCCCCAAGTTTGCCCAATGGGGTTCCCCTGCCCTGTACCTGCAGCGCCCTCTGCAGACGAGCCCGCTCCCTCTGCTCCCGCTCCCGGGACCCATGCCGACTGCGCGCTGCTGTGGGCGGCCCCAGCTCCTCCACCTTCCCCTTCTGCCTCCTCCTCAGGGGTTCTGGCTCCGACCTCCGTCGTTTCCCCAGGGGACTTGAGACCCCTCCCCCAGGGCCCTGCCCTGAAGGGAAGCTGTAAGAGGCCTCCTTATCCCCCCAGCCCCCTCCCAGGCACCCCAAGACTCCCCCATTTCTATACATGTACCCTCCAAACCGATCCTTGAGAATTTTCCCCATCCCCCTGGACCAGTGACCTGGTGGGAGCTCCATCTCCAGTGACAGGCTCCACAGGAGGCGGGGTCCGCGCGTGGAGACCAAAAAGACATTTCCTCTTTTTAATCTCCCTCCCTGAAATGAAGCTAGACAAGGAGAGAATCAGCAGGTCCAGGGAATTGCAGCAAGGTCCCCTCATTGGGGCCCCGCATCGCCCCAGACGCCCTTTCCTGGCTCACCGGTCCTTGTGGCTGTTGAGGGCGGCAAGGAGCTGGGAAGAACGTTCTCCCTTAGGGGTGTCTGAAAGCTGCAGGAAGAGGGCAAATGGGTCAGAGAGCAGTCATTCCTCTCCGCATCCCACCTCAGCTCCCAAACTTCAGGACCCGTACCTCCCCCAGGAGCAGACTGTCCCAGTTCTCAGAGGCGAAGGGGAGGATCTCTCGGTCAAAATCGAAGTATTTTTTCTTGCAGCAGACACTGAGGTGGTAGAGGACCAGGTGGGCCACATCCACCCTGGAGAGGCAGGAAGGCAGCAGCGCATATGAGAGTCAAACAGCGGGGAACAGGAAGGAAGGAAGGAAGGAAGGAAGGAAGGAAGGAAGGAAGGAACAATCCATCTCACCAGCGAAGCTGTAACCTCCGGACCTTCTCAGGGCCACCCCGGCACACACAGCATTCAAATTCATAGAATCTGGACATGAGGACAGAGAACGCACCTCGTTCAACTCTACAAGTGGTAGACAGCGAACGCTGGGAGGCCTGGGCGTGGGTGGAGCACAGCAGGCGGGCGCCCTGGGCTTCCTGGACAGCCTCCTTTGGGCTCACCTGTCTCCGTAGAGGAGGGGCTTGCTCAGACACTGGGTGCAGGCCTCGTGGAACCACTGGAGACAGCTCCGACACTGCAGCATTTTCAGGTTCCACCTCAGGGGAAGACAGCCTGCCTGAGACCACCCTGAACCCTCACCCACCTCCCATCACCTCGGGGCTCCCCTCAGCCTGCCCCTTCCCCTTTATTCCAGGCTCTACCACCACAGCGTCCACCCCAGAACTCAGCACCCCCACCACTCACTCCCCGGGGCCTCCACAGTAACAGTAGCTCTGCTGTCGGTTGCTCAAGTGCCCGGCGTCCCAGTCCAGCCCCTTTAGTCCATACGGCAGACAGAGCTTCATGCCCAGCATGGCCCGGGCATAGGGGCCCTTCTTCAGGGCGCCCCCCCTCTGCAGAGGAACAGGTGGAAACCTCAGAGAGGCAGGAGAGAAGGGGCCATGGGAGGCTCCCATAGGAAGTGGCAGAGAGGTGCCTTTACCTTGGTGGCAATCGCAAAGACACACTGGCGGCAGACCCAGGATGTGCCCTCTCCTTCTCCAGGGGCTGGGGCCCTGGGAACGTGACAGTCCTGGTGATAAGCTGAATAAGGACAATGTTGAGAGTCAAACACTGTGTGCGCACCTGCATTGGCTTGGTGCTCGTACACGGCAGCCTTCCCTTGTGCGTTTATATCCTGACCATGGTCCTACTGTGTGTGTGTGTGTGTGTGTGTGTGTGTGTGTGTGTGTGTGGGGTGTGTGTTTGGGGGGGGGGCTGGAGAGATGGCTCAGAGGTTAAGAGCACTGGCTGCTCTTCCAGAGGTCCTAAGTTCAATTCCCAGCAACCACATGGTGGCTCACAACCATCTGTAGTGACATCTGGTACCCTTTTCTGGCCTGAAGTTGTACATGCAGGCAGAACACTGTATAATAAATAAACAAATCTTTAAAAGACAGAGAGAGAGAGAGAGAGAGAGAGAGAGAGAGAGAGAGAGAGAGAGAGAGAGAGAGAGAGAGAGAGAGAGAGAGAGAGAGAGAGAGGTATGTAGCTACCCTCAACCTTAGAGAGAGAGAGAGATGTATGTAGCTACCCTCAACCTTGCATGGCTTATGTCATCTTCATCCTATGGCTCCCTCTCCCTGTACTGAGATGAGGTGACAGGGTGAAGACTGGCCAAGATAGGAGACACAAGACCCATGCTAGGAAGACAACTGGCAATCCAGAAGACCCAGGGCAAACTGTACCATTCAAGTATCCTGCCCTCTCCTCTCACCATGACGACACTTCTCACAGCTGACCAGCCGGTTCCCAGGGACCACCGTCTCAGAGCGACAGACACAGCAGAGGAGCTCCTCCCCAGGGAGGGCAGCTGTGAGGGACAAGGTGTCAGGTGGCTTACTTCAGCCAGTGTCCCCCACACCCTCCAGCTTCTGCAGTTATGAAGGGTCTCACCCGGGCTGATGTCCTTCCATAGAACCAGAAACTGGGAATCATCCTCAAACTGGACCAGACACACCTCCCGAGCACTGTCCACCTGGAGTGGGTGAGCAAAGATTATAAAGTGGGAGCAGGAATCAGAGGGAGAGGATCCATGGTGGGGCCCAGAGTTGGCTCTTACCTTTTTGATGGTGCCTAAATACAGCAGCCCATCGGTCCACCTAGCCAGCACGTCTTGACCCTCCCAAAGTCGAGGTCTAGGGCCTGAGGTGGGAGCAGGGGAAGCTGGATCCCAAAGAGAGGGTGCACCCAAGCGGCTCAGCCGGGGGAGCTGCGCCATTGCATCCTGGGAGGGGCTAATCAGATACGATGGAAGAGTTTATGAATGTTAAGAAGGCTTGGCTGCTCTGTCTGCTTTTACTGTCAAGGATAAGGGACCAAGCACCTCCAAGCTCAGTCACTGAATCCTTTAGACACCTAAGGAGGTGGGTCACCCTGGTCCCCAGCCTGGTTCTCTAGCATCCCAGCTCCCTGGGGCCTTAGGGGAAAAGATGCTTTCAGAGCCAAGGTTACCATTCATTCAGTTTCGCCTTTCCCAGCTGTTTAGAGGTATCCTAACTGGGACGCTCGGTTGCCCAGAGATATTTTGGGAGCTTTTCTGGAGATGTTTCCCTGAGTAGAGACATCCGCCTCCCCAGGCCTGTGTGTCTCATTTAGAACCGCTGTCCTGGTGCCAGGTTATGTTAGGTCACCCTCAAATTTGAGGCTGCTTGCCCTGGGATTAGATAACTTCCCCGAGTGCCCCAGGAGGGGGGCGTGTCCCTGTCCAGGTCTCCGCTACCCTACACCGCCGGTCTGAGGAGGGACTCGAGTCCCCCCAGCCCGGATCCTAAGCCGGTGCCAAGAGGCTCTCCTGCCCCCTGCTGAGCATCGACCCCCGGCCCCCTCCCTGCCCCCGCTCAGGGCCTCCCGCCTCCTTCTTACCGGTGACAGCTGGGTCAGCAGGGAGCCAGCTAGGGGCAGACCCCAGAGCCCTAGGGGCGCGAGCCCCGGCGCGGGCGGCGTGCGGG